GTTTTCTATCATATTTTTATCAATTGTATCATATTTCACAAAGTGTAACTTTATGTTTAAATACTGACTTGCAAATCTTATATGGGTAATTATACAAAAACATGCCATTTCCCACTCTTAATATTTGATTTTCAGATTTTTGTTTTAAAATACTTTAAACACCGTTTTGGATTCAGATATTTACCTTAAAGTGCCAAACCATCTCAGGCCATCTTATTTTTAAATGTACTTTTACAAATAATCAACATCCATGTCTCTTTCATCAACCCTGTTACATATCAATAACTGTTTAAAAAGGTTTTAAATACATGTTTAGAACAAACTTGTTGTACCATGAATTCTCTTTGATGCTCTCATCTATAATGCAGTATAGATACCTTCATAATGCAGTACCAAGCATCCTTAATTCTTATACTGACAATTATAATGCATTATGAAGGCATTTATAGTTAATAACACTAACCTAAATATTGTAATAACGTATAATAAAAAATAATCAATACATTGTAGCATCCTATTAGTTAGGGAGGTAAATATCGTGTAAATATTAATAGGAATATAGCTTTATAGGGTAACAGGGTTGACGATAAGAGGCTTTATGAAAAATTCACTTGTCTTTTCACACCTTCAAAAAGGCAAAAGATGCAACTTCCTGGAAGTTATGCAAATTTTGAAACCGTCCGTTATCTCTTAAGAGGCATTTTCCTGAAAAGTAACAAGGTTAACGACAACCTGGGGGGTATTCCACGAAGCAGGATTAAGGGAAAGTCTGCCTTTCTTTAGCTACTTTTATGGAATAACCCCCAGGTAAATGAAATGAGAAAATACTTGATTGTTTATTGAAATTTACAGAGCATTTTTTTTCCTGAGGGACACAAAATGGCAAGTTTTTGTATAGCCACCCATGTCTTACAGCAAATTACAACAAAGACAAAGTAATAATTGATTCTTCTCCCTATATGGTTTACATATAATTTGAGACTTTTATACATATACTATTTGA